GTTTCTTGGCAGACACCGGTGGGAAGCACCTGGGTGAGCATCACTCCCCAGGAGTGTGGAGACACGCACCACACGTCAGCACCGCCAGTCCAAGGCCGCACTGGGCCCTGCATTCCAGCAACCCTTCCTCGGAAGTTCTCGGCGGATCGGCTGTCCTACTGGTGTCTGAGGGCTTGGGGGAGGAGTCACTCACACTGCACGCAGAGTGGGGTTTACCTGTTTTCTTGGAGCTGGTGACTGTGATCCTGTCTGAGACATTCAGGGAGCAGAAGGGAAAGGTGCCCCAGGCCGCTGTCCCAGAGAATGAGGGTGACAGGGCAGTGCCGGGTAAGCACCACCTGTGTGCCGCTGAGGACGACGGCCGGACCTGTCCCGCACAGCTGTGGGGCCGGGAAGAGCAGCACACAGGGTGCTGTAAAGCGGGAGGCCCTTGGTACTCGCAGCAGGTCTCTCCAGAGGCCGTATCTTACATGTGCTAGCAATCCTGCGTCCTTTCAGAGCTGCCCGCCAGCTGTCCCATCCCCCTGTGCCTCAGGCAGTGGCGAGGAATACTGGGCACGCCGGGTCGACTCCACAGGCCCCAAAGCCAGGTCCAAACCCTACCCTGGGCCACTGAAGTTACTAGATGAAATACTCCAAAGCCAGCCTAGCTGGCCATGAAGTCACTGCCGTTCACCATTTGGACGGTGCCAGTAGAGGGTTCCTGGGGGCGGGCCTGGGGCAGGCCCCGGAGCTGAGAGCTCTGTCCTAGACCGCTGGATCTGGATTCCAACAGGAGAGGAGCTCAGTCCTGTTGCCACCCTGACTGCAGCCCTCTGAGGGCTCCGGACACAGGACTCTCTCTGCTCATATCATGGCAGAATACACCCGCCGCGGTCAGCACTGAGCACGAGGAACACCGACTGCAATCTCCAAACATGAGTTTTCCTGGGTGGCGAGTGGCCTCCCCGTGATGTGGAAGACTGTTACCGGACAGCACTTGGAGAGGAGGACAAACAGCTGGCTGCTCTCTCGGTGATGCTCTAGCTGCACTAGAAAACGTCCTGCTGCAGGTACAGTGGCAGGCAGTGCGAGGGAGCCTGGGCTCCCACACGCTGCCCCAGGAGCCACCGTTCCTCAGGCCTGTCCTGGGGACACAGCGCACAGCACTTCGGGGACTACCTCTGGGCCGTACTGTGTTTCTGTGTACTACCTCCACATCTTTCCTGCCAGCGAACAGGAAGTGGCTGCTTGTCTGGCACATAACACTGATAGCCATGGTTTTGAAGCCTCCTGGTTGATCCACTTCAGATTATGCAATATTAAAATGATCTGAAGGAAATAAGCCTCTAAGTTCTAGTTCTAAAGAAGGCGGCTCGGTTAAGAGCTAAAGTAACCAGGAAAGACATTTTGTGACTGGGGAGATAACCAGGGGGCTGACTCTGCAAAGCCACCCAATCCTGTTATATCGGCAGCAGAATTACATTCTCTTAGAAGCATGAACCTGTAAACTACACGTGCCAGGAAAACAGGTTGCACTCTCCTTATGAGAATCGAGTTCCAAAACCACCCCTCTGTGCTCTACTCTGTGGGGAAGGTCAAGGCCATAGCGCAGTGACAGGGCTTCTAAAGCATGCATGAGGTCCTGAGATTCATCCTCAGCACTGGGGGAAAAAGTCCAGGGCTGATGACGGGATATCCAGGTGCCAGGACTGTGTCCCTGCCAGCACTGGCTCTTCATCTGACCATCCAGGTCAGGTGCTGGTGGCTGATGAACTACGGCTCTCCTCGGACATTCTGGAGGACAGCATTTCTACATTTAGCAAACTGCACGGGCTCACAGCACTCTGGTCCCATGTCTGGAACACACACCTCCAGTCTGCTGGCGCCAGTCCCTCTTTCTGTTTGCTTTTGCAGGGCTGGGGGTTAAGCCCACGGCCTTGTACCCGCCATGTAGCCCTCTACAACCGAGCTCTCCCTCTACCTTCAGCTGTAGATTGTGTTTGTGATGACAGTGGTGATGCCAAAGACAATGCGGGCATAAATGGGTAGGGTAGGATGGGGTCTTGTCCCGATTCCAGAGGCTCTCAAGGAGAAAGGCCCGCCTCTCACTGCTGCCGCCCTCACCGCTGCAAGGCCAGCCTCCCGAGAGCCCACTGGGGATCAGGAGATGGAGGGTAGCTGGGGCATCCACCACCGTGCGCTCACAGCTTTGCTTCAGTGAGGGCTCACGGGACAGAGTTCTTTGCTGCTTGGCATCGGCAAGGCCAAGCACGATCTGCCTCCGCCCAGTGGTCCGGCCGCCAGCACAGGCCACTCTAGTCTAGACTCTCTGGTAATGGCCCAGATGCTCTGTGACGGTCGAGTCGACCCATGCTCTGAGCCAGGTGCTCCGTGCTGCTGGAAGCAGTGGCCGCTGCCTCAGGAGCAGTCTGTCTCAGGATCTGAGACTGGCGGCCTGATCTCGTCAACAAGCCTGCACAGCCTGCATCATCTCACCATCCTCAACGATCAGGTGAGGGCGTCCTCCTACACACGCACCGCGAAGGAGGGGGCGTCAGAAACTCACCACTGTGCCAGCTTCAGCCACAGGGCGGCTCCCCCGGCAGCTCCCTCTGGTGACTGACGAGGTTCTGGCTGCTCCCACCTCAGACCCAGGTCACTCTTCCTCCCAGTGACTCTGATGTAGCCAGCTGCCTACAGGATGCTCAAGGGGAACTGAGCTGGTTCCCTGAGATGTTCCAGACACTGGCAGCCACCCCTGCCTAACAGGGCAAGTGGAGTCAGGCTTGTGCCTGAGTGCAGAGGTCTCACACTTGGATGTGGGTTTGCCTTCCCTAGCCAACACTAACACTTCTCAGGACGGCATGGAAGGGCCTTGGGGGAGGCCGGGAAGAGGATGAGCAGTACCCTGTTGGCAGGGTAGCAGGGACTTTCCTCAAGGGACTGAACTCCCTCCAAAAGGAGGAACTGGGCCTGTGAGTGAAGCTGTGTTCTGACCTGGTCAGACTTCTGCTGACAGGATCTAGAACGCCTTTGCTTACGTGGATCAAGTCAAGTCTGGCAGGTGGCCTGGCAAGTCCATCTCTGGGGAGCCCAGGACGCTGGCCTGGTCATAGGTCTCTGCCTGTTAGACTCTTCTGAGGGTGGCTCTTACTCCTTTGCCCAATACAGAAACCATCCCCACCTCGTCTTGGACAATTAAGTGTCGCTCTTTTAAGTGGCCCCTCTCGAGGACTGTCCTTCTGTTGCCCTCCAAAGCCTGACGCTGAGCATGTGCCAGCCACCTTCTTCCCCCATGTAAGCAATAAGCAACCTCCCTGGGCTCTTAGTGAGTCAGTCTGGGCACTGCTTCCCCTGACCCTGTGGCGTAAAATCCCAACAAGCCTCTTCCAGATGCAATACTCTTACCTAGTCACCAACCCCACCTCAGGTGGAGCGGTTTGAGCTGGTAACTGTTAAAGGCAAAAGACCACCAGCTGGTAAGCCCCCAAGGGCCAGTCACACTGGAGGTGCCGGCACCACAGAAGGACAGAGCAAGGAAGGGTAGCTGGGAGCCACTTTCGCCTGAAGCCAGAAGGGTCCCTGAGGCTGCTGGTAGCTACTATCTCTGAGCAGTAAAGAGAGCTGTTAAAATCACAAGAGCTGACCTCACTGACATTCAAAGAACCCTCCTGCCTCAGCCCTCCAAGGAGCTGGGACTGCAGGCACACATCACCGTGCTTGGTTCCTCCTGTAACTTCGGGCCTATAGAGAAAAGCAGTCACAGAGCTCTTCCAGGGTGCTGAGTTCCCTCAGCAACTTTGTGCCTCTCCGTGGGAGCTGAGTGCGTCCTCTGGGTCCTCCCACCGGGAGCACACAGGCCTCGCAGGACAAATCTCCAGTCTCCCGGCCCCGCGGGTCCCTTCCTGGACTGCACATCAAGGCCACTGCACATCCGGAAGGTGTGGCCACCTTCTGGGTCCAAGTCTTCGCCAACTCTCCGGCAAGCCGGCTGTCAGCCCTTTCTAGGCTCTGAAGCGGCAGCACTGAAGCCCCGAGCCCAGCCCTCTCCCCTGTGCTCCCATGACTGACCGGTGCCATTTAATGGCCCTGCCCCCTTTGCTCCTGCTCCCGCCTGTCTTCTCCAGATCTCCGTGGATACAAACCAACGGCACCAGGCCCTCCGTGCCTCCCCCTCAGGGGTACCAGGGATGAGCTGGTATCCTGAGTGCCGCAGTGCCTCGCAGGGCAGCACCTGGGAACCGCAGCTCTCCAGCTAGAAGCGGCCAGACTCAGCAGGTCTGGGCTCTTCTGGCATTGAGGACAAACTACAGAGGTCTGAGGTCTTTGGGACCTGTCTGTAGGCCCCTCCCACACATTCAGAGTCCTGTTCCTTCCTGATCAATACTAGAGGATGCTCACCGGGCTGGCCACGTGCAGGGGAAGGGGGCTGGTTCCTAGCTTTGCTGCTTTACGCACTCAGGAGGCTGAGTTTGTGTCTCTGCTTACTGTGCAGGGCTTTTCCTGCCTCAGTGTCTCCACGCCTCTGCCAGGGTCACCTGGAGGTGGCCCTGCCCCCATCACCTAACCATCGTGATAGATGATTGTGGATGTGTCTGGATGACTGACTGGCAAGCCAAAGTCTGACGAGGAAAGCCAACCTTGGAGACGGTGCCACCGACCAACAGGTTTGTGGCTTGGGCAGAATAAAACAGAAAGAAGAAGGAAGTCTTCCCTTTCGCTTTGTGAGAGGACCTCGTCTTTGCCCTCACTTCTGGTCGTTCACCTCCAGCTCCTTCAGGTTTCCAGCACGGACCCTTTGCTTCTCCAGTGTCCTCGCTCCTGACTGCAGTGAGCTCCAGGCCTCTGACTTCTGACCGGACCCTTAGCTGTCCAGAATTCAGATGGCCCTTTCGCATTCTTCTGCCCCGACTCTAAGCTGCCATCGTAAGGCTACTTGTAAATTATATATCGTACAAATATTTAACATAATATATAAGTATATACTTAACATTATTATACAAATAAATATATAATATTAAGTGAACCCTAACTGACAGATTCCCTCTAGGACTGACACCCCGTCCCCATCCTGTGTCTGGCCTTGCTTTGCATACCACGAGCTCCTGCCCCAACTATCTTGGCCATCCAGCACCTGCCCCTTTCCTGCTACACTTCCTCGGAGTTCAGTAATGTTCTTCTCCAGTCCTAGCCTTGGTCCTGGATGTCAGGAGTTCCTGCCCATCTCACGGGTAAGGAGATATGCAGACATCAGCAGAAGGCCACAGTCAGGGTCTGTGGCCTCCAAAGGCCTTGGAACCCTCGCTCAGGGTCACTTACTCAATTGCAAGGCCCAGCAGGGGACCTCCCCAGAGGGATCTGAGGGTTCTGACTTTTATTTTTTGGTACTAGGGGTCAAACTTGGGTCCTTGCACTTGCAAGGCAGGCAGTGGAACCAATGAGCTAAGTCCCCAGCCAAAGGCTCTGACTCTTAAGTGGAGGGACCAGTGGAAGAGGTTTGCAACAGAAACTTTAATAGATAATGTCCTCAAGTTGACGGCACTGTCAGGCCCAGGCCATGCCTCTCAATCGGCGTGGGCAGAAGGTGCCAGGGATCTGGCTGGTTGCCACGGTCACTGTCATAGATGCCACAGCTCAGAAAAGGAACAGGGAGCCTCATGAAAGTGAGGACTCTATGGTCCTTGGGCTACACCTGCTGGTCCTTAGGGGCCCTGGACGGTCAGTGTCCACTTGTCTGGGCCAGGGCTGGAGTGAGATGCCTACTTCTCGTCTTCCGAGTCTCTAGAGAAGGGAGTGGCGAGTCACACGCGCTGGTACAGTGACCAGATGCTGATGCGCTGATCCTTGGATCCGGCAGCCAGCAAGCCATCGGTGGCAAAGGCCACACAGTGGACAGAAGCACTGTGGAAATCCAGCACAGCCAGTGGCTTCATCGTCCGCCAGTGAAACACACGGACGCGATGGTCCCAGCCTGCAGTGGCCAGGATCTTGCGGTCTGGCCGGATTGTGACGTCGGAGATCCCAGGGTTGGGGAGTTGGTGAGAGCTGCGCGCCTGCGAGAGGGAAGACGGCAGGGGCGGTGTAAGGTGCTCAGGCGTGGGCACCCTGTCCACCCTGCCCCACCCTGCAGCGGGACCCCTGGGAGAGCTCAGGCTCCTCGACGGCTACACTCTCACTCCCACCCAGCTGACCGCCTCTGCCTCCTTCTCAGGAGCGTTTCTGCTCTGGGCTGACTGCGTGGCCGTGACACCGAGGACTCCGGCTCTCCCTCTCCTCCGGCCCTCTGGCTGAGCTCCTCCCCTGCACCTGCTCTGACAAATCTTTACCTTCATTAGGGAGCATCTCTGAGCTCCTTGCTGTGGTGAACACACTGCACCTTCACATCTTTCGAGAGGCAAGGACTCCAGCTCGGCAGCAGCACAGAGCTGCCATTTCTCCAGCCACATCGGGGAGGATGAGTAACTCACCCCCTCTCTCAGCAAACTCTAAGCAGTTGAGGAAATCCCATGATGGGAAGGAGCTACAGAGCCGCCAAGCGTGGGCAGCAGCAGGGTGTGGGCAGGAGCTGTGGTCTGAATGGCTCTCCCAGAAACTCATGGCTGCGAACTCATCTCCAAATCCACATGCTGATGGCATCTGGAGGTGGGGCCTCGGGAGGGCATCAGGGTTAGACGAGGTCCTGAGAAGGGGGCTTTTGTGGTGGCACTGGTGGTTTATAAGGAGCGAAAGAGACCTGAGCTAGCACACTTGCTCGGAGGCCACAGGATGTCCTCTGCCTCATTATGAGGCAGCACAAGGCCCTTGCCAGATGCCAGCTCCACGATCTTGGACTCTGTAGCCCCACAACTGTGCAGCACATAAACTTCTATATTTTATGATATACTCAGTCTCAGAAACTTTGTTATAGCAATAGAAAATGAACTAAGGCCCAGGACAAGGCCAAGACATGATCAGAGGTAGAAAGGGCTGCACAGTAGTGCTCCTCACCAGGCTATGGGGAAGCCTAGCTCCTGGCGTGGTTCTGTGAAGGGGAAGGGTGCTGAACAAGACAAGGAATTATGTAGCATTTTCGATCTGCACGGAGCCACGAAGGAGCCATGCTCTCTCTGGGGTCCAAGCACTCCAAGCTCAGTGCTGGGGCACAGGAAGCCTCCTGTCCCAACATGTGCCTCCTGCAGCAAGCAGAGAGCCCCCCAGAAATCAGCGCTGCCTTTATGGTCAAACATCTATGGCTGGGTAGGATCCAGCATGTCCCTCTAAAGGTTCATGTTGGGAGCTCAGTCCTCAGTGTGGTGGTACGGAACCTTTAAGAGATGGGCCTCCTCAGGTCAGCTGGGCCTATTTCCTTGAAAAGGACTGTGGGGCCCAAGTCTTTCTGATGTCATGTCTGGCAGTGTAACCTATTCCCTTCACACATTCCTGGCACAAGGTGATGTTATGCATTTGGCCTTCACTGGAGTCCAAACCAGTAGGGCTCACCCTCTGGAACTGTGAGCCAACTGAATCTCTCTTCATAAAGTCAACCTGACTAAGGTATTTTGTTATAGTAACTAAAAACTGACTAGTATACAGCATTCATGGTTACACAGGGCTGTCTGGTGGGCTATACGGCATTTGGCATCTGTCCCCACGCAAAATGACAGAGGCACTCTGCCAACACTGTGACACCTAATGATGGCCATTCCTTCCACCAGTCAATCCTGTATGTGGCCTGGCCCTCTTGGTCCTGAACACCAGGAGTTCTATCAGCCTCCTTTTTTCTAAATGTCTCCTAATATCACTTTCTGTTAAAAAAGTCACTCATCTCTGCAAATATAACTCAAGGACAAAGCAGAAAAAAGAAACAAGAAAAACAAATGGCAACATTCCTCAGATGACAGCAAAATGGTCACTAAGTGATTTACTCATAATTAAAACAAAACTAAATGAACTAGGTTACATCTACAAATTACCCCTATAAAACAAGAACCCAAAGCAGCAAAACACCGAGGACAGTGGTCCTGACTCAAGAAAGAAAACAAAAAAGAGGTGAAGTGGCTGGGCATGGTGATGCAACCTGTACACCCAACACTTGGGAGGCTGAGGCAGGAGAACTGCTGCACATCTGAGAGCAGCCTGGGCTACACAGTGAGTTCCAGTCCAGCCTGAATTACAAAGTTAGATTGTTTCCCCCAAAAAGGAAGAAAAGATAGGAAGCAAAGGAGGGGAATCAGAAACAGGAAGTGACAAAGACCCTGAATAAAAACAGGAAGGAGCCAGAAGAATGAAGAGTGATCAAAAGAGAAAGAGTTAAAATGGGTAGTACGGGAAGATAATACAGGGGGGATGTTGGAGTTCACTGATGTAGAAAAGCAGTTTTAATGTCGCAAAATAGAAGTCTTATGATCAAAGTCCAAAGAAAAGCTACAGAGCAGTCAACATGAAGATATGCTCTAGTAAAACTCTTAGACCTAACAGCTACGGAGAGTCCTTTTGGTAACCAGAACAGATCACATTGCTCAAGAGGGTAAAGTACAGGCTATGAACAGAACATTCTCGGCTACATCTGTGCCAGCAAACGACAGAATGATGCTCACATAGGTAAGAAGGGATATGTGGCCCAAGAATTTTATATCTAGCCAAAATGTCACTCAACTGTGAAGACAATATGGAGACATTTTTGAACATGTAAGAACTCAAAGGATATTGCTCCCATAAGCTCTTCTGGAAGGACAAGAAGATTAATCCCAGGGTTGTAAGAGATAACTGGAGAACTACAGCAAATGGCCTGGCAGACAGCACTGAATCTATTTACCAGCAGGATTAAGTCTAAAACACATGGGGATTATGGTGCGAGAACCGGTTATGTAACTAACCGATACAGAAGCGTAATGAGAGAGACTGGTTAAGTTCACTTGCTCCTTCTTTGTTATTTGGAGGCCAAAGATACAAGTAGTCAACTCCGTACTTGACAGCTTATCTGCCGTCCACCGTGAATAATAACAAAATCAGCATTATTTTCTTCTGTTTTTCCACCTGAGCAGTGGCCTGGTACCTGCCCTGTATATCTGCAGAAAGTATACAATCATGAACACATTCAACAGATTTACGACTGGATTCCAGTGTTCAATCCAGATCTGCACTAGTGAGGGACTCCAAAGGGACTACTGGCAGGTACACCAAGTGAAGGCACATGAGAAAGAGGGGCCCCACGTTCACAGGAAAAACTGAACTCAGAGCCTTTTGGCTGCACTAAGGCAGACCATTATGAAACTTAACGGTGATAAAGGGTACAATTCGGAACGAAGAGCCATGACTGCCTACTTGGCAAATAAACAGGTTTACCCTTCGCAGAACAGGAATAACAGGCAAGTGGCTGTGATAGTAGAGTAACTCGTACCAGACCAGGCACTGTGCTGTAAACCACCATAAAAGTAAGCAAAATATACACGGTAACTTTTACAAGCTCTGGACAGCAGGCAGAGGAGGTTTCTGATGATGTGAACCTCCCAGTGTTCTCTGCCCCGGGGACAATGTCCTGGCCAAAAATCCAGGCCAAACACAGTACTCACCTTAAGCTGAGGAGGCAAATATCAGAATTTTGGGCAGTGCTGAAATCTGTGAGGATGAAAGAGGGAGGGAAACAGGGGTACCTGGAGGGTGGAGGACTATAGGTGGGGCTCCTCACGAGCCCTTGTTTGAAGGCTGGGTCACATAAGCCCAGAGCAAACTTAGCAGAGAGTGACGCTACAGGGTCAAACAGACAGGTAAGAGAGGTCAACTGAGAGCAACTGAGTTCCATAATGGCCTGGCTGCAGGAGGAAGGGTTCCACGTGGAGTAGGCCTGCTGCAGACATAGCAGAGCAAAGCCAGAAGCCATGCCTCAGCAAGCTCCGAAAGGGGGAGCCTGGAATGGCTTTCCACACACCTGACCTAAAGAAGCACAGACCAGGCCTACGCAAGTTCAAGGTGAACAGCCAGTAAGTGAACTTCCTGCCAGAAGAAAAGCAAGCACTATTCAGAGCAAGGAAACAGACATCAGAGTCTCCGACATATATTATTTATATTGTCGAGCACACAAACAAGAAATTACTAGACGCACAAAGAAGCAGGAATATATGATCCATGGCGGGGGGCAAGCAGTTCACAGAAGGTGATCCCCAAGATCAGTCTATCCCATGGCAGAGATGTTGGGTATATCAGATAAAAACTTGAAAGAAGCTGTTTAGATGTGTTTTTTAAATTAAAGGAAAATGCATTCAAATAATTATAAAATAATTTATCTGGATGAATGTGCAGAGAAACAGAAAAACAATTTCAGGACTAGGGATTGAACCCAGATCACTTACAGTGCTATATCCACATCTATCCTTCCTTCCCTCCACTTTCTCTCTCTCTCGCTCTCTTTCTCTCTCTCTCTCCTTTTTTCCTGCTTTCTTTTTTGGTACTGAAGATCAAACTTGGGTCCTTGTACTTGTGAGGCAGGTGGCGGCACCACTGAGCATAAATCCCTGGCCCTCTCTCTTTCTTGAAAGGGTCTCACTATGTTATTACTTTGCCAGGCTGGACTCTAGCTTGTGATCCTCCTGCCTGAGCCTCCCACATTAGGGTTACAAGCATGTGCCACCATGCCCAAGAAGAAATACAAATCATGAAAGATGTACAACTGAAAATCTCAATAACTGAAATAAAAAAAATTATAGGATAGGGTTAATAGCAGATTGGAATTTTTTTTTTTTAAGTTGATGAGCTAGAAGACAGACCAAGAGATTATCCACACTGGAGAGAGAAAAAAAAAAAAAAAGATTAAAGGAAAACCAGTAAACACAGCCTCAGGGACCAATGTGACAATATAAAACTGTCAATTTATTGAAGCCACAGGAAGTAGCAAAAGTGAAAATGGTGAAGGAAAAAAATTCGAAAAAATAATAACTAAAAAGTTCCCAATTTTAGTGAAAACAACAATTTATAGGTCAAAAGCTCAGCAAAACTCAACTAGGATAAGAAAAATCTAAACACAATCATGTCAAACTGCTGAAAACCACAGATAAGGAGAAAATGTTGGGCACAGACA